AAATAGTCTGAATTACATCGCTAATGTCATAGAATAGCACGGCAGAGCACATTGTAAAGCAGTGTTACAACATACCCCATCTGCGCAACTGGAATTTAAAACCGGTTACTGCCTTCTGATAGTTAGCGAAGCATTCAAAAATAATCTAAACTGATAAATAACAGATTGGAGATTAAAATAATAGCAGATTTGTCTCATTTTAAATGAATAATAAAAACTGAGATGAAAAATGTACTTAAGCCAGAAATATAATTTCACTATGGTAAAATAAATGTTCAGCGATATCTTCAAAAAAAACTTTTTAATTTTGGTGCACTTTTTTTCTCTATATAATGTTGATATGGTAACTAGTAAATGCTGTAAATTTGGTTGTGCTAGCATGTGTGGAAATATTTCAACCATGTGTGTTACAACTTACCCCACGTTACTTTGTGCCCTGCACTCCCCTACCTCTTTCTCTCTTTTTGTTCTTTCAGGACTTGAGTGTCGGTGAGGGTCCGAACTGTCTGACTGCATGTGCTGAGCCCTCTAAGTCTCCTCAGCGACATTTCTGTGCAGTGTGCGGCCTCCCATCAAACTACACTTGTGTGTCATGTGGAGCTTGCTACAGCTGTGTCCGATGTTTAGGAACACACCATGAGACCAGGTAATGCACTCGCTCACACGTGTGTGGGCAGAAGGCAACACAATTCCTCAAAAGTGAGACCAGATAATAGCAACACAAACAATTGTGTTTCCACACACTGACACCACAAGAAATGGTGACGTTAATCGAACAATTCACCCAAAAATGACATTTCTGTCATTGTTTACCTCATGTTGTTTCCAAACCTGTATGACTTTGTTTTTCTGCGGAAAAGAAGATATTTTGAAGAATGTTTTTCAAGAAGAGAGTTATACATGTTTAGGGTATGTAAATGACGACAGAATTTTTTAATTATCCATTTAAGATCAAAATGAAACATCATTAAAATAGATTCAATACTATGGTAAATGAATAGGACTAGGGAAAATGAATTAAGTGTGAATTGCGCTCCTTGTCTTTTCAGGTGTCTAAAGTGGACGGTATGATTTGTTCCTCAACTGAACTCCTATCAAAAGTAAAGCAAGCTTATGGGTCAAAATGCACACTTACGAGCTTATGTTCCTCAGAAGCATCAGTCATTTGCCGGCACAATAAACATGTTGAGGTGTAAATCACTAGAAGCCATAGACCTGACTGCTAAAATAATAACCTGTCATCTCTGCACTTCTTTGTACAACAAATGGGCTGCACTTCATTTGAGATTTCACATAATAGGATGAAACATAAAGCATTTGCAAAAAATGAGGAGCTGTTGAAGTATTGTAATTAGAGTTAATTCTGTGCCAAGCTTTGGCTCGTTCTTATTAAAATATAGAGAATGCCAGTGAAAAACTGCTATTTAAGTGTTTTGTAGTAAATGACCACAATTGGCAGAAAGGAAAGACTTGCATCTTATGGTTACAAAAGTTAAAACATGTTCTTTAAAAAGCATAATGCCTATTCACGGATTTCTTTATCATAATTAAAAGAACCTGCAGCAGATTTTTGGATGACTAAATTTGTTTTTTTTTGCCGTGTTCATTTACAGCACATAATATACAGCTCCATATGAGCATCATTCTGATTTAGACCCCAAATTACATTCATTCGATTCACTTTGTGCTTTGAGCATCATTTGGGAGAAGCAAAAAGCTAAAAATTCACATGAAAACAATTCTGAAATAAGTATGTTCTCCTCTTGTATCTGTCCCACATTATATAATTCTGGCAGCTGTTTCAATAACTTTGTGCTTTCCAACATCTTTTTTTCTGTCAATGAAAACTCTGCTCCTGCTTGCATTGGCCTCCATCAAGAGGGTAGGGGACCTGCACGCATTTTCGGTCGACGATTCGTGCCTAGAGTTCTATTATAATATATAGTAAATCTAATGTTATAAAACTGTTTCTCTCTCTTAGATAAACCTGTTCTGAGCTGTAAAGCTGGGTGGCAGCCTTTTCTTTCCAACTGCTATGAATTTTCCAGTAATAAAGTGAGCTGGCAAACGGCACGTTTATACTGCAGTGGACAGGGCACCCTGCTGCTTATCCTGGGGAATGACTCCAGGGAGTGGGTTAGTGATACACAGACACAAACATTGCATAGAAATTGAATATAATCAACTCATGTAATGTCTATTTTCTTTGCTTCATTCAGGATTTTATTGTGCAACGCACTGCTCTTTCATCTGAATCCTACTGGATTGGTCTTACAGATGCGATAACTGGACGTTGGAGATGGGTTGATGGAACACCCTACACCATGAACAGCAGGCATGTAAATATTTGTAGCTCTTCCATAGCCTCTCAGTCAGATCATATGATTTTATCATAGCTTTTACTGTTATTGAATATTTATGTTGTTATTTGGTAACTTTTACCGTTTCAAAAATCAAGATGACTGTCAATGTTGTCTCACCATTAAACTAGTGAACTGCAAAACAACAAAGGTGATAAAATACATGCATCTACAGACTTACCCTTACACATATAGTTAACACAATTTTTAACCTACTATTGTTGGAAAATCTGCACTAAAAAAATTACTTTTGATTACAGTTGATTACTTACTAATTACAGTTAAAATGAACAGAAACAACAAAATTCTTGATTTATTTTATTTTTTTACAACTTATTTACATTATGTTCAGTCCACTTAAATTTGTTAAATTTAAGTGAACTTAATCATGTTGTGTTGGGACTACATGAATATTTTTTGTTGAAACAACTAACTGAACAGTGGATGTGTAGTTCCCAGCATGCTTTGCATGGGATCACATTAAGAGGGAAACATGTTGAAAAATGTGTTTTTAATTTAAGAAAATTACATGTTAGATTTGTATACATGTAATGTGAGTTATTTTGGAGATTTAGAAGAGATTAGAAAAATTTGAGGTTACTATGCAGAAGAGTGCTCGGGTGCTGGCAGCTTCATTGACTGAAGAGATTATTGCACTCTTAAATCCACTCCAAAAACAATTTTGTCACGTTGAGAATCCCCTTTTGTTGCTGCTGTTGTTGTTAATTCAATGTTTTTGGGCACTATATGCTACCAGTGGTTTGTAATGGCACAATGTTATATATGCATGTATGTATGTGATTATTTTTTTATTATTATTTTATTTATTTGTTTGTGTGGGTGTGGGGTCAGTGGGAACCAGGAGAACCAAATAATTGGTTGGGTGAAGAGGATTGTGGAGAACTAACTGCATCTGGGAAACTGAATGATGGCCACTGCTCAAAGAATTTCAGATTCATCTGTAAAGCACCAGCCAGTGAAAACTAACCAGTTAATGTGGCTCTGTTGTAATGCCATTCAAACAGTAGGCCTGCCTACTGATATTCTGAGAAATATGCAGAAGGGGAACGGTGGAAGATTTTTAAATGTATATAGTATATAACATTGCATGTACAAGTTGTAAGTAAAAGCTGAAAATAAGTGAGCAAAGGGGAAAAAAAGCCTTTTGGTGTTGCTCATAGTGACATTAAAGACACGATGTTTGAACCTGCTATACTGCAGCAGGACTATGGCATGTTCACGCAGGAGAGCAGGAGCCCTGGGCATTTTTCTTTTAGTGTTTTTCAGAGTCAGTAGAAAGGTCTCTTTACTGTTATTATGGCTGCATGTGACCTTAATTGTCTACTGCCTGTTCGTGTTCCAAAGGTGCATGTTCAATAAGTGTTATGGTTCATTGAGCAAGCATGAAAAATTGTTTAAACCCTTTCCAATAAAGATTTGTAAAACTTATTTGGATTTTTACAAAATTAGCTTTAAAATACAGCATCATAAAAAAGAAAATGTAAAAAATCTTATTCATCCCAAACATATGAATGGTAGTATGTACACACACACACACACATATATATATATATATATATATATATATATATATATATATATATATATATATATATATAAAAGAAGTCTGAATTATTTTTTATATACTTTAAAATATAATTTCTTCCTGTGGTGGCAAAGCTAAATTTTCATCAGCCGTTACTACAGTCTTCAGTGTCACATAAACCTTATTTGTAAATATTAAAATAATTTGAGTACTAAAGCTAATCTGGTTTGGTCTTTTTTATTTTTATTTTTTGGTGCGGAAAGAATCATGAATTTAAATAAAAAGATAAGGAGTTGGGGTGGCAGACAAACACTGAAAAAATTGGCAGAACTGGGTCAAACAGCCGTTTATATATGTTTTGCGAACAACATTTTTTTAGACTGACATGCAAATATTTCAGTGTGTGTGCTTCAATAAACTATTTAATCACAAAACACTTATTTAAAAAGTGAAATACATGTATAGGCTATTTTTCCAATAGAATTATGTTTTACATACACATTGTCACAGAACATGCTAACCTGTTACTTCTTTATATTTAACGTTTAATTCTCATCATGCAGTGTATTATTACTACAATTACTACTGAAAATCACAAAAAAAAATTGTAGTAAATAATCACAATTATTGCCAGAACCAAAGCAACAGCAACAGCAACAGCAACAACAATAACAACAATAGTATTTACGGATAAATCACAAAGCCCGCAGAAAGAAATGGCTCTCCTCTGAACCGGCTGAGGCACTGAGTCATTAGGGATAATGAGATCATTTTCTGCATCCTGTAGATCTAGTAGGTCTGTAGGTAGACGTGGATTTCCATGATCTTCTGCAAAAATACAAAAGACAATTTATACAGAATATAATCTCATTTATGTAAGAATTATCATTTTTAATTACAGTGTCACACTGTAAAAGTGAAAATTTCACTAAATAATGAAGACTGTAAAGCTTGGAATACTTACTTTTCAAGTAATAATATAAAGTCTGCTTCTGGAAGGAAAATTAATACATCAATATATCTGTATTTACTGATATATATATATATAAATATATATAAAGAAATGTATTACAGCAGAAGAGAAAAAGGTGACAAATTCACCTTCACTCCCTCATTCACTGTATTTGAAAAACCCGTGCAGCAAGTGTTTTTTCTTTTTAAAAATGTAAAACTTAGCTTTTTGTTATGTGGAAACACATACTCACGGTTTGTGTAAAGGGCTTGGTGATCAGCCTACCTTTGATTTTAAGTCCTTCGCAATTTTACTAATTGCCTTCGTATTCTTCTGACATTTCAGTAACCCAGTGTCATCGAACAGACAGTCCACTGCAGATATGTCCTCGCTGTTTATAACCCTGTTGCTGTCTAGTATAGGTTTCTCTGGGTCAAGCGTGTGATGGAGCACCACCATGATGACTGGCAATGATGACAGATAACCAGAAGCTGTAAGGCAGTTATAAGTGGATTGTTAACTGGACCATAAAAAAACTAATTTGGTTAATAAGTTTAATTAAACATGTTTTATCATTAATCTAGCTACACTTGTAAGTGACCTTTCACTTCATTGAGGTACTGCGCTGCAGCTTCAATGTCAGTTCCAGCACGAGAAATAATGGGGCAGAAAAACAGTAAGAAACGACATTGCTGAGGGGAAGATGCCTCCTTCAAACCAGATTTTTTAAGAGTTTTCTTGAAGTCATGTACAGCACAATCCATTGTCCTGAATCCAAAATTAGGGGGGGAAACATAAAATGGTTGAAGAATGGTTAAAATGGATACTACATATTAAGGACACAAACTTAAAACGTTGTTTTATTAGACAAATTCATCAAATAGTGCCTTACAAAACAGAAACTATGTTTTTTTTAAAACATCTGTTTAAGCTGCTCAGTAGCCTACTGTAAAGGGCTGTATCTAAAGGCAGGAAATCTTCAAATCCTATACAGCATGCTTAGTCGCATCATGTCTATGCCTTGCCTTCATCTGATCCAGTTCAGAAGGCATGTTTTTTAACGACACTGATGTGTTTTTATTTTTTTAATTGATTTTAATCAGTATCTACCTTTGTTATGTTTCACCCGTTTCCGGCAACCCAAGAGGCCTCCGCTTGCGCTCGAAAATGATCCTTCAGCTGTTTCTTTGAAACTGGCCTCCGTATTGCAAAGGCTGCCTCTGCTTTTAGAGACGCAGACAAAAGCGAATGCATTTTTTCTACTTGCAAGTTTAGAGAATGAATTTTCTGTAGTGATTGCAGTGTATAGTTGCAACAAAACATCACGAGTCGGAGCCAGGGCACCTACATCACTTTCACATAAACTCACAGCTCAGTCATTCTTGAAAAGTGGGACAAAACAGGGTTCAAAATTGAAAAAAATAAAACCTTGTACTCAGACAAATGAAACTACATTTATGCATCTTATATGTACTAAGCTAACTGTACTATGCTTTGATACAACCTCCCAAATTTTCTCTTTTTTAACAAAATGTGCTTTTTTTTTAGCTTGGACTGTGTAATATAATTTCAGCTTTATCTTTAACAGCATTCAAGATGTTTTTAACATTTCAAAACATATTCTTGTGTTAGCAGACAGATTACACTTTCACATGTGACCGACAATTCCACAACAAATATAAAATATCATAGTGAAATATTATCAAAATATTCAACTGACGGAGGTGACACATCTTACGGAGGTGACGAAAACCTGAATTTATAGTCATTTTAACTATCAAATACATTGAATCAGTCAATTACTGTATTAAACAAACAGTGAGTATGTTATTGTTTATAAAGCTTTTATTCAAGAGTCACATTTAAGTATTTTGATATATCATTGGAACACAAAATCTTATGGTGGTGACATCTGACGGTGTTGACAAATTTGACATTTCTTTTATGTAGAAGAAGTTCATGTACACTCTTAAAAATAAAGGTGCTTCACGATGCCATAGAAGAACCTTTTTGTCTAAATGGTTCCATAAAGAACCTTTAACATCTGAAGAACCTTTCTGTTTCACAAAAGGTTCTTTGTGGCGAAAGAAGGTTCTTCAGATTACAAAAAGGTAAGAAAGAGATGGTTCTTTAAAGAACCTTTGACTGAACGGTTCTTTGTGGAACCAAAAATTGTTCTTCTATGGCATCGCTTGAAGAACCTTTTGAAGCACCTTTATTTTTAAGAGTGTAGTAGCCATTTTATTTTTTTCTGTTGATGCTAGATGCTAATGAAACCTGCTTCAGGAGAATAAAATGATCTAAATATTTCCAATAATTTCCTCAGAAATTGGAAGATGGTGTTGACATATCATGGCTGTGACACAGGAAATATTAACATTAGGATTTAAAATATTCTAAAACTATAAAACTTAGCAGAGCCTGTCTGACACTGATGTACTCTGCAGAGGTGAACTGTGGCAAGGGGTCCCTTTAGAGTGACAGCTGCCCCTGATATTCCCTGATTTTATTACATTTTATTGAATGTCTGACGGTGTTGACAAAAAGTGGGGACGCAACTTTAAAATTGTATTAAACATGCATGTGTCATTAAAAAACAACTTTGCTTTGATAGGAGATATTATTAAGTGTTGCTTTTGATAAAACAAGCACTTTTTCATCATTAAAAAAACATTTTTATCCATTTTATTGCATATGAATGATTGAACCCTTCTCTGTGGACACACTGTTTTAGATGTGGTGAGAGGACATTAAGAAACATAGATTTGGTATAATAATGAGAAAATTTAATTGAAGGTGATAATAAGCACAACAACAAATATATTTAATAGTATTGTATGTAATAATAGTATCTTTAATAGTACCTGTGAGCTTAATCATCTGCTTAACCCAAGTTTACTCTTCTACGGTTTTATTAATGCATATTCATTCCAACTGGTGTTTAAACTTTTACTCATCCCACTTTTAAAATCTCATAAACACATTCACAAATAATAATGTAAAGTTTATACGAATCTTCCAGTGAGAGGGATATTTGGAAATCATCAAAATACACGAAGGACATACATTTGTTTCTTGCTGAGTTTATCATCAAAAGGCTAAGATTGATGTATTGAGGATTGATGAGAATAGGTCAAGAACCACTGTTTCTAAAATCCTGCAGTACCGGTTTCAGGACTGCATTTCTAGGACCCTATTTTTTCGTGACAGCGCCACCTAGCAGCCAATTCTACTACTAATTCAGACCTATTCGGCCTCGATAATGCGGAGGATCATACTACTTGGAGAGTATGGAATAAAATCACTGTCAAAAATAATCGTACGTAATTCAAAGCATTTGTGTGTCATTTTAATTTACTCGTGCGTAATTTAAAAGAATTGTATGTAATTCTGTTTTTTGTCAGAGTTGGATTCCAAAATCTATGCCCACGACA